CGTTAAAGCAATTTTTGCCTGATTGCATTTGAGAGTTTCGGTAGCATGGTATTGTTCACTTAACCAGGTAAACAAGCACATCGAACTGGATCATGTGTACAGGTTGACAAGATTCAAAAACCGAATCACTCAACCAAAGAGAGGTCATTTTGTGACTCCTAACTAAGCGCCACAGTGCAACCGGAATCACAACCCCCTTAATGCTTAATCAACGGCCAACCGGGTTAAAAATAGTAGAACTGTGAACTCAAAAGAGTCTCTGAAGAAGAAGTAACGGATAGAATCAGAATACCGCCATTCCCGACTGGTAATAAAGCTTTTGCGAACAATTGGCCAAGCTCATCAAACGGGTCTGACTTCTCAGTGTCTCAGTTTTTGGCTTTTTAGTTTTTACGCTATAGGAAGGACATTCGGTAATATCCGATCGGCAGGGAATAGATGAAAATGTTTTGGACACGGCTCTTATAGAAGTGTAAAAGATTTTGAATGATAAACCGTTGACTCCAGCGACCAGCGAATCTTGGACCTACCCAATGCTGTTGAGAGCGAAATTCGGCACAGGCTTTCTTTGGAAAATCACCTGATACAACGCAGTCGGTTTAAAACACAAAGGTTAGTTAACAGATATCTGTTGGACGCCATGAACTCGGAGACATCTCACTACGCTACAGACTCTGCAGAAACAGTTTATAGGAAAACCTTAAAGGTTTCAATAATTGATGGTTTTTCATCTCCCCTTTCTATTACTCCGCACCGAAGTCTATGATGGAAAGTGCAGTCATCTAATGAAGAAAACCCTATCATTGCTATCCTCCGCGCATACACACAAAACTTCAATTTAAGACTTTACTTTCCTTTGGTCATTTTTTCCCGTCCGTATGAGATAAACTAGCCCATTTGTTTGAATCAAATAGCTATGCGGCACATTTCGATCGCTCTTGCTTGCCGTGTGGGGTCTTTGGCTGACCGTTGCCATTCCAACGTTTGTCCCTGAGTGATATTAAACTCACGACCAAGGGCTTTCCTAGGTGTCTCGTGTTTGTCGTCGAATAGAGTAGTGCTATAGGAATTGCACTTTGCTTTTACCTTGGGGTCCCTCTATTACCTACACATGACTCTGTCATGATTCGATCTCCGCGCTCAGTTTGGTTGATGTCCTAAACACTGTGTTATTCTTATTGCAGAAATGTACATTAGTTTTGATCACACAACTCCATCTCATGATTCCGACGATTGTTGTACGACTTCCGCTGAATATTTTAGCTCTTATAACTGATCAGGCTAGTTTCATTGCTAAATAATGTTCCGCTTTTAACTGTCCCAGAAGATTCTCCATGTGTCATTTTTGCTGATTGTCGTCACCAGCCCATGTGTCTGCAATACATTACTGTTCACAGTTTACTCCAATCCACAAATCCAGGTGAATAAAAGTGATTGCTGTCCATGAACATAATCCCTAACCCTCTTGTGTGTTTGTGTGCTTCTGACTTCATTCTTACGGATCTTTCTATTTTGAAATGAGCCTTTCTCTGTCCTTTTGTTGTACTATTGCTTCGCGTGTTTCATGTATCATGCCATGGTAAAGAGTTGTTCAAAATGAAACTTTGCGGATTTGATAATTCTTCTCTCTCTCTCTCTCTCTCTCTCTCTCTCTCTATATATATATATATATATATATATATATATCCGTCTCTTCTTGGTTTGCTTGAAATCAGGGTTTTTGGCCGACACCCCTAGGTCATTCTTGGTTAACGAACGTAGGAAAGAGGTGCTTCAGTCTGTTGAGAATGACTCACCTAAGTGAGCAAATTAATGAGTGCCACGACTAGGTTAGACGGTAGATACGTTTTATTATTCTAAGGAGAAATATAGTCTTCTCTCAGAGGTTGTTTGATCTTACCAGTTAAGATGAGAGCAGCAATATCCGACCAACTCGCGGGATGGATGTTAATGCCATATCGGCTGCGGTAAGGTTTCCGTGCCGTATTTATCGTTCTTATCAGAACGAGTGGTATTTAAAAAATGCACCTGACTGCGCTTCTCTAGCTTTCTCGGAAATCACTAGGGTCTTTCTGGAAAGGCAGTCTC